GTCCCAGCCGTGTCCTTGCTCTTGTCCGACCCATCGCATGCGTGTGCAAGATGATTGCCGAAATAGATCTAGCACACATGGAGCCTTCCGCATTGAAACTTACGGCGTTCCCTGGGATTGTTCCACTTCCAACAAATCTGCCTACCGTCGGGCGTTCGATCGTGCATCTATCGGCCTTTCTTCCCTTTGCCCTTGCCCTTTCCTTTCTTCGCTTTGCCTTTGGGCTGCTCATAGGCCTCTAACTGCCACCTACCTCGAGACCATGTAGGACTCCTGGAGCGATGATAGTTTCCTCGTCCCGAGTTGGCTGCACTGGCCACTTGTGAGTACACATTCGGCGTGAGGAAGTACCGCTCCTTAATTGTTGCATCTGCCATAGCCTCCCTCAGGGCCTCGACCATGGTGGCACCCTCGTTCACCAGTTTCACCATCTGCCGCCGTACCTGGAAATCGTACGACAGCATCAAATCAAAATCTGGCGTAACAATGACCTCTCCATCCTTCCCACGGGCCTTGAGTCCCAATATGTGATCACCAAGCATCAAATCCAAGTATTTGAGGAAGTGTTGAGGTTGTAGATCACGCAGGTTGGCCTTGTGTGGGTACTTCAACTATGCCATCAAATAGGCATGTGCCACGACCGACATTCTCTTGCGAAATTCTTCTGGGCGTCGGGGCTTTTGGCACTCCCCGTACCCCTTCTTGATCTTGAGCGTTCCTGTGTTTTTCTCAACTATCGCGCCCAAGATATCCGCCTCTACGTCCTCCCTACTGAGGAATTACATAAGGCTCATATTCTTTAACTCGCCCTGCTCGATCTGGTCGAAGATCTGCTCCAAGGTTGAAGCCGCTGGGGTATTTCGATCCTCCAGCTTGATGCCATGCACTTTCTAAAACTCTTCAAGAGCTCCTGTACCTCGATCTTGTTCAAGGCTCTCGGCATGCTCGCCACCCCACCCTCAGCTTCTGCCTTGTTCCTAACTGACCCTTATGTTAGCCGCCTCCCAGGTGTCCACCAGGAAGGCAATCTCCACCACATCCCGGGTCTTATCCAAGGAGAGCACCTCCGTACAGAACTTTCGCATGCCAGCCCTGTCGTCGGCTATGGTGCTCACCCGGCTGATGCTCCGAACCTTCGCCACCGCGAGCTTTGCCTGCAAGACCTCGTCCATTTCTTTCACCTGGAGAAGTCCATGAAGATCGGCATCTATCAGTGCAATGGCATTGCGCCGGCGCTCCTCTGTGTCGTGCCCGATCCCGGCCATGTGCCGGAATCCACTTTCGCGCCGGCCCACCTTTCACGCCGACGCGCTTTCCGACCCTTCCCTGCTTAGGCCGAAAAGATCGAATCATGCATCCTCTCACCTGCCGGCTCAAATCAACGACTTAAGACAAGACCGAATCGTTTGCTCGCAAAATCATGACATTCACCTGTGAGCCTATCCAACACTCGACTGACTCGACACGAACACGCGAGCGCCCCGAACGAACTTCCTAATCTTACATACAGTCCCCCCTCACGAAGGCATTACCATGCTCGACACCTTCTCACCCCCTCTAGTGTGGCACCCCTCGACTCAATGCCAGTGCATAATGCCCCTCTTTCGTGCCACACCTACCTAGCGTGGTTCTTTCATTAATTTCACGAGGCGAATGCCCCTCGAACGCCAATCACCCCGTGCTGTCATCCTCCTCCGTCTCTGTCATCTCCGACGACGAGACTTCTCCCGAGGAATCATCGTCCTCGAGAGTTCCCTTTGCTTCAGAACCTCCCACTATGTCGTTTCTGAAGCACTGGCGGAATGCCTTGTGATATGCCGTCGTGCTGGGTGTCTCCTCACCCAGCACCTCGTATTGTGCGTAGTGCACGCCTGGCTGTCTATGGCATTCGCCCATCCGATATAGTGTCTTGGTCTTTGACCGACCCATAACGGATACGACAAATATGCCCGCCACCTTTTCCAGTGGCGTAATGTCAAGCTGCTCGAATTCGCTGTACTCCTCTGCCTCATTTTCTGCGGGCTGCTCTTGCTGCTCGACTTTCACTTCTCTCGAGTCCTCATCTTCTTCGACCAGCACGATAGGGCCCGTGGTGGTCCATTTCGGCCTGCGACACGGCTTGGCCGCATCCACTCCTGGCATGAACGTCATGAGCTTCATCATCTGTTCATCACATTGCTCTTGTGTGCAGCCTTCACGTTCTGCTCATATGACTCATCGGCGGATGATCGCCACCTGCCTATCATCTTCCTGACGTCGTCAGGGGTCCTGGCTGCCTGCGCCCAGGTGCGAATCGTGACCCGTTCGTTGTGTTCTATCCACAATACACCCAGGCCAGGGATGCAGCAATGCCACCCTCTGCTCACCCTTTCCGGCTTGGATCTCGTTGAAGAGGGCTTGAGACATCGTGGACGCGATGGGGTAGTCCACAACCTTCCGCACGAACCCGGTGCAACTCTTGTTTGGCCAGGGCAACATGAAGTCCCTCAAAAGCAGGCCCGCTTCGGCCCCCATTGCAATCCAAAGCTTCCAGCCTATCTCGAGCCAACGCTGCTCTGCAATCCATGCTTGCTTATTAATGTAGAACAGCAGCAGCACCACTCGCTTGCCTAGGCCCGATGTTTTGGATCGGTTGATCACGCCCTTCAAGCCCCTTTCGTCCATCTCCAATGTCCTTATTATGGGTGTCCCCTTTGTGTTATCGAAACGCATGCCCGACCACAGCTTAACGAGGCGAAACCACGCATAGACCCTCTTGTAGCTCGGGATCTAATCGTCGCAAACATACGCTTCCCATACGACCACTATAGACACCGGGATCAGTAAGGCCTGTCTAGATAGCTTCAGCTCAACTAACTAAAGCCGAAGCGCCGCCTCCTCAAGGGCATTCTTGATGGATGGCACTCTACACAACTGCTCCGATTCCGGCACCTCGCCGGCATACTCCAGAAACATCAAGGCCTTGTAAGCAGACTCGGGGAAGCTGCGAGCGCAAGGTTCTTCTACCATGGCCTCGATGAACTCGGCGAAGCATTCCGGCCTAGCCGGCCACATATAACCAAAGGCCGCGTCCATCCAGCGAGATGCCTTCATCCACGTCTTTACGTATTTTCTCAACGTATTGGCACGGCGTCCCTTCGCCACCCGGATCATAAGCGCTTCAACGCTAAAACGTCTTGCCACGGATAGGTTCGCCTTCTTGATAATCTCCTTAATTTCTTCCACCCATCGATCGCGCTCCTGCTTCTCGGCAAGCTCTCTCAACGCCAAGTCGCCAGAGGCTACGTATAATTTCATGCTAAGCCGGGTCGGCCACCTCGAGCGCTTGCCTACACCCACCAACTCCATCTTCTTCATGACGTCCTCCTGCATGACTGTTTCGATCCTCCTTCGTAATTCGCGTTAATGTGCAACATGTGCGTCCAACAAATCTTATAAACCTCTCTTGGCATCGATGAGGTGCCGCGTGTTTGCTCTATTTCCAACTCTTCTCACTCACTCAGCCAGGGTGTCCCTACTAATTGCAAATTACGTCCAACATTTCTTTGCTTCCATCCTGCAAAGCATCCAGACGAATCACTATCCACCCCGACCTCGCAGTCGTCTAACACTCCCAAACGGACAGGCCCGTCAAGCTTCACACCAAGGACAAATCGTCCTCGGCGTCCATAGCGATAACGCTAGGCCCCTTCATTGTCCTAAAGAGGCCTAAGCCGCCATGCTTACCGGCCGTTCCGTAACAAACCGTATACTACGTACAACTAGCCATAATATAATATAATATATATTTATTGAATTTCCAATATATTTTTTTTAATGTATAATCAATGTATAATTTTACCATCTATTTTCATGGAGCCGTTTGATTTCGTTATTCAATATGTCCAACATATCTAATCGCTTGCAGTGGTAATTGAGGCAGATGGCATCATTAGGATTAGCCAGTGTTTCTTTTCCTCTTTTTTGGAGGCCACCCTGTCGGTTTCATTATCGCACTTGCCGTTCTATTGTCTCTTCAGTCTCTTCCAATTTCTGCTTTAGGTATTCCACTCTGCCAGAATATTCATGCCTGGATCAGACTTGATGATGGGTCTCATCTCTTGGTCTCTGAGATCGGTATGAATGAGGCTATGTCAGGTCCGAGTAGATAAGGATCCGAGATGCATAAGTGAATCGACAAATTTTAGGAAATCGAAGGATTGATATCGGTGAATCTTAGAATTTGCCGAAAATAGTTTAATGAACATGAACCGAACAATTGGAGAACACCGATCCTGGCCAAACACAAGGAATAATCGTGGAAGGGCGAGTGTATCCCAAGAATGACCCAATCTGTGTGGACAGCACAACCTGGAAGGAAGAGACAAAGCACTGTCATGCATCAACATGTCGGCTGCAATCGCAGGCCTGAAATATTCACAATTTCCTGGGCAGCACACACTCAATTTAAGAAAACAGCAGCATCGAAAAGTGTCGAGAAACGTTTAATTCTTGTGCAGCTATAGTTGTTTCTCTTGACAAGCACAACCTATTGGGTGATGTTGCGAGCATGCTCCATAGAAATCCTGGGGAGTCACCTAAAGCATTGCTAAAACGGCTGAAACTGCGAAAGATGTGGCTCCAGGCATCATGGAAAAACACAATTCCGGCACTTATCAACCTGGCGTGGATCGATTTGGTCAGCAAGGGAAGAAACTGCCAAAGGAAACTCAGCCCAGCTCCGTTTGGAGTACTTGACAGGTTGAACCCAAGTCAATCCAACATTTGGAAAGCAGGATACAACAAGTGATCCCAAGACCTGTAGCATAACTCTGCTCTTGAGTGCCTAAACCTCCACATTGTAAGCCATTTTGGTGCAAAAGCGACCAAAGAGGAGGTCAATTGATTCTTGACTGGTCGTTGGGCAGACTTTTGACAAAGATCTTGTACGCGAGACCAGACCAGGTCGAACTTAAAGAAGCAACCTACATCGGTCTATCACTGAGGACTGGATTATAGCCATGGATGACCAAGGTCGATTTGATGGAATGGCGGATCTCTTTGTGATCAGTCTTCCCTGGTGTCAAGGTGGTCAGGTAGTCTTTTGCTGGTTCAACCTGGTTGACCTGGAGCTTGGAGGGCCCTTCAGCTTGTCAGCTTGGTGGTGTCAAAGGCCTGTAGTGGGAGTCCAAAAGTTGAGCTTGAGCACGACCCGTGCTTGCACTCAGACAGAACTTTTCCAGCCTTTCAGCTTGTCAGCTTTGTGGTGTCAAAGGCCTGTAGTGGCAGTGCAAAAGTTGAGCTTGAGCACGACCCGTGCTTGCACTCAGACAGGTGTTGGCTTGATTCTCTTGATATTTATTGCACTTTAGGACATCGGATATGGATCACAGTGCAAAATTAAACGCATGTTCCTACTGCACAAACAATGCATATGATCGATTCAAAGCAAGAGCTTCTTCGGCATCATGTTTCTGCTGCGAGTTCCTCTTCTCAAAAAGCGATGTTTCAGCACCGCTGCTGATGATTCTGCTGGTTCATCGAGCCAGTCACGTTTGCTCCTTGAACCTTCAAAAGTGGAAAATCACCCCAGATTGGGTTGCACTCCTCGACCAGTCAATCAGTACTTGGAAAGACCAGGTGCGACAAGTGCTTCTCATGTCTGTGGTACAACTTTGTTTTTGAATGTTGTTGAATGAAACAAAATCTCGCGAAAATTTGCTCGCAAGAGGGGATTGACTTGTTCTCTATTGGGTTTTGCGCAAACCTTTTGCAGACACTGGGGAATGTAACGAGAAATGACACCAAGTCAAACTTCAAGTGCAACTTGCACGGGTGTATCATTGAAGCTGGTTCAAAGACATGGGTGATCAAAGCCTCGTGATTTTGTCGAATGCCTGGGGGCTCTGCACCTAAAACTCAAATTATGTGGGCTAAAGTGTCTTTCTCTCCACTCGAGTCTGCACAGTTAGTTTAATTCATGCACAAATGCTGCAAAAACTTTTTTTGCTTCAAAGTCACACCCGGAACGGGTATACATTTGTGGGTTAATCGCTGTTTCACATGTTTTGCTGACCGGCTCGCACCACCTGAAGCACCTCTCGCGAAAAAGAGAAGCTTTATTTGAAAAGACTGTTTCTGCCGTGGTGTCCTCTTCTGAAAAAAGTAAACCTCTCGAATGGTTCATCCGACTGCCCGTCTGACCGTCCGTGGAGCCCTCGCAACTGAAAGTTCAACCCAGCTTGGGTTGTGTTGTTCCACAGGTCGAGCCAAAGTCATTCATTGGAAAGAGCAAATGTGACAAGTGATTCTAAAAACTCTTGCACAAGTCCACGTCTCTTTTAAACAAGCTCGTAGGCGGTTTTCGCGCAAGAAAGGAAATTGACTCCTCCTCTGCTGTGCTTGGCAAAGACTTTGAGCAAGGATGTGGGATTGTGACAAGAAATGAAACCACGTCAAACTTCAAAACGCAGCCTGCATGAGTGTGTCATGGAAGCTTCTTGCTCAAAGCCCTGTCCCATCAAAAGGCTCACGATCCTCTGGAACCCACAAGGGACATTCTGCAGCTACCCGTCAAGTCCTACACACAAAACCTTCTTCTCTTCATTCTACACAGCTATATATTTGATTCATGCCCCACAAGCTGCTTTCAAGTTCGTTTGCTTCAAAGTCACAAAACCGAAAGGGTTGAAAACTTGCATTGCAAATGATTGCAAATGTAGGGTCTCACATATTCTGGCACATGTTCCCTTGGCTCAAACTGCCTGGAGCAACCTTGCCCAGAACCGATTGTGTTCTTGTTCAAAACCAACAAAGTTGGGCGCGCTCTTGTTTTTGCTGCGAGTTCCCCTTCGTAAACAAGACCCGGCTGGAAAAAGAATTGGCAGCTTGTCTGCTCGAGACTTCAAAACTGAAAACTCCAACAAGCTTGGATTGTGGTTCTCGACAGTGTGAGACTTGGAGCCCAACTCAATCTGTGTATGTATGAATTTCGAGTTGGAAGGTTACCAGAAAAATGTGGGAGGACTCAACAAAGCGGCCGTTTTCATCAGCATGTTCTGACATTTTGTGAGATCACTCTCTCCATGGGCATCCATCTCCGTTGTCAGCCGACGGCTGATGAAAAGCCCGTGGTGAGACACGGCCAAGGTGTGAAGAAAACCTGTTATCATACAAAGAAAATCGAAGAAACGTGTTCTTCAAATCGTCAAGAGCGATTCACATGCGCATACTCTTAAGGCCTGCAAGAGACTTTGGGTACATCTTGGGGCTTTGAATGGGCTGTGACATTCCAGACTTTCAACCAACAACCTCAGGTTGCATGGCCTTTGAATAACGCCCAAAGCGACAAGAGTAGATGGTCAGTCGAGCACTTTCAGGCAATGCAACAAAGTTCCCTGGGTGTCCTTGCTGCATTGGATCAGACATCTGGGGTGGACATCTGCCAGCAGCTTCGGGTTTTGCCACATGATGCATGAGGAGCTGTTTGGACTTGTTTTCCAATATGGACTAGCTTGGACTTTCTCGATCGAAGCTGCTTTTGGCCGCCACCATCAGCTCCACCTTGATGCCACTGCGGCAACATCCAAACATTTACAAGGCAATGACATCAGCCAGCTCTAGAAGGCACTGCCCGGCACTACTGTGCGGAAACACAATTCCAGTTCTCGGCGTGCCTCTCCCTTCAACTTCAGGAGAGGCCCCTTGCCTCTTTGATCAATTGCCGCTCTACTTCTGTCTTGAAACAATTCTGGCAATATACACGCGCAGTTCATAATTGACAGCTGCACAGTAGTGGTCTAATCAATCGGGACCTGCTACCTACAGGGCACAATGAAATCAATCACACAACAGAGACACGGATTTATCATTCGACTTAATCTAAGAGGCAGTGGCGCGGCAGTGGCAATTACTTCAGTGGATATTCTGACACCACCCCGAAACGACAGCAGCAAATCCAGCTTAAGACAGGCCCAGGTAGATCTATGTGGGTCTATATGAAGACGGCATCAGTCTAGTTCATAGGCAGCTGAAATCGACTTGGTTGTGCAAAATGCTCCTGGATGACCCCAAGGCAGAAGAGGTTGTTGTGGGCGAAATACATAACAAAATTCCACACAATCCCTCAATCATGCTAAAATGGTCCAGCCATGCCAGAAAAATTGCGCAATCCCAGGGAGCCTTTTTGATCAACTGTTTGATCAATTTCTAGCATACTTGAATTGTACACATGAGCTGCCAAATATCACCTTTCGCATCTGGTGCACATTTTTCTGGCAATGCAATGGAATTCTATCCTGCCTCTTGGTATGAGCACGCTGGCAACTCGTCAACGCTATGGTCAGAACCCAAAGAGCAAGTTACATTGGGCAGGGGCAGTCTTCCGTCCGTCAAACAACAAACAGCTGGCATCTGCAAATTGTGTTGGCAAAATAGCGAAACATCGCTGGGTCAATGCTGTGTCACTCATCCACTCTTGAATGGAAAGAAAACAAACCTGCTGCCTCACTGCTAAGCCCACTGGGTGTTTCTTCTTTGCCTGGCAAAGGACTTTCCGTGCTGCTCGATGTTACCTTTTGCTGCTTGCAGGCGCTTCAATCTCTGTCTTGCCGGGGAGAATGCTTTCAAGTTGCCGACGACATGCTTAAGCACCAAAAAACGTTTTGCCAGAACATCTTCCATACGTCGAAGAATGATGAACATCATCATGCAAACTGCGTTGGCGAAGTGAAGCATTGCTGGGTCAATGCTGTGTCACTCGTCCAATCCATTTGAATGCATAGGAAAGGGATACGCTGCCTCATTGGTGCGTCTCCCTTACTTTTGCTTCGCTTCGAAATGCTTGCGAAGCTCGATAATCATAGCCATTGGTAGTTCCAGACCCCTTTACCCTCATTGCGCAGAATGTATTCTGAAGTACTCCAAGCTTTGAGGGAGGGCACTGCAGCAAAAACCGAAATTGGTAAGTGGGCTTGTAGTCAAAAGGCTTGAGTTCGGAATCGATGTGCTACAAACCGAAGCTAAGTTGCCAGTGCCTCAAACAGAGGCGAGAGTGAGAATGGGGACTGGCCAAGGGTTGAGCAAGTGCCAAAGCCAATTGTGACACCAGAATCAGCATACAAGGCTTCTGAACATGGATGCTCGACAAACAAGGCAGCCGCTGCAAGTGCATCACTCAAGCTAATTAAGAACCCGTGGGCTGAAAGAGGACAAGTGGGCAGCATATGCACACAAGCCTGCCAATGTTGCATGCGTGACCATGGCTGAAGTTTAGGTTGGTCCTTAAAGCTTCTGCCCAAACAGAACCCAATCCCATCAATTAAGTCAACAAAAACTCTTGAATCACAAGGTCCAGCTGCAAGAATGAGTATGGTCCATTCCTCAAAGGCACGTTCAACACATTGAGACACATTTGGGCTTTTTGAATCCAATTGTATCAAACATTTCGGACATCGTATCAAAATGGCCTTCTGCTTTTATGTCTTGAGAGTCGTAAGTCATCTTGTGGGCGCGAGGGTGTTGCACAAGGGCAACGACTTTTTCAAGGCAGCACAGCGAAGGTTTTACAGGGCAGCTAGGGGGAACATAACACTAAATCGACAGCTTGCACATGGGCTCTTAAAGTCCCAAGTTGCAGCAGTTGATCTTGGATTCGACACCCATCAGTCCACCCAGATGCAACTTTGGACATTTCTTTCGGTTTGCGATACAGGCCTCCGTGTCCGGCACAATTTTCCTCGAAGGCCAACGGTGTCTTGAAATCGTACAAGTTGAAGAAAAAACAGCAAGCTTTGAGCTGTGAAACGAGCCAACATGCTGCTGTCAAGCACAACATTGTCTGCAAACAAGCACACAAACAGTTGCTGTTCATAGCTTCGAAGCCGTGGAAGGCTGGCTTTGGCAGCTGGCGTTTGTGTTTTACCTTGATGTCAATTCTGTCAACCTGGCAGTTTGTATAGTAATAGGCATAGTTCCCGGCACGGCTTTGCATGACTTGCGAATGTTTGGGCTATCATCTGCCTTTGCTCTTCAAGGCCAGGTTTTCAGAGGCAAAGGAAACACATTCTCATGTGTTGAGACAGTACCAGAAGCTATTGTACAATTGTACACCTCAGAATGAGCAAGGGCTGACAGTGTTCACATTGGTTGGTGTTCAACGGACAATCTGCAGGCTGATACGGCGAAAATCAAGAAATATGTACATCGGAGCAGGACAAGCGGGACGGGGCCACGTAAGCTTTGCGTCTTGCCGCTGACCCAAGTATGTTGGAGTATGCTTGCAAGAAAAATCTAGACTCAACGCAAGCACAAGACGAACTTGTGACACACTTGGCAAAAAAGTACATCCTGGAATCCTTGGCTCTCCAAGTTGAAACAAGAATGAAGGGGAGTCAGCCTGGAGAGCTGCCCCGTGGTGATTGTTGAGAATGTTGTTTTGGGAGAGTTCTTCAAAAGTTTGTGGCCAAATGTTCTTCAAACTTGCACTGTATTGCACAATTTGGACAATCTGGCTCTCCCAAACCTTAGTTCAAGTTCTGGGCTGAAATGAGATCAAATAGTCTTCTACATATCAAACTTGCAAAAAGATTAGACGTGTAGCTGGTCGCACCACAAGTAATCGCAGAAAGGCTGCAAACGGAGACAGCTCCAGCCGCCTACTCTTGTGCAAGAAAGGCCTAACAACAAGTGCAGAGGGGCCCAAGCAACCCTTTGTTAGAAAAACAACTTGTTCTTGTAGTTCAAGACAAGCATACTTTAGGATGGAAACAAGCTATGTTCGTGAGCTGTCTTTAATCATTCGCCTTACCTGATATTGTATTCGCACAAAGCCAAGCGATCAAGCGATCATGGCCCGCAAACAACTGGCCCTTGTCGTGTGGCTTGAGGCCTCAAAAAGAAGCTGGTCACCCACAAAAGGATGTGACAGTACGATCAATTGCGATCGTGCAGCATCTAACCAGAGCTCAACATTTACATTGCGATTAATCTCCAAAGCTAGGTTTGGCCTCGGATTGTCGAAAAGGCATGACTTTTGGGGGAAGGTGGTCCCCATGAATGTATTGCAAATGCTAGGAAATAAGCTTGACTTTTGCAGTTCCCTGTATCATTCCACAGTTCTTCTTCAAGCACTTCAACTGAGACAGTTCAAGCCTTAGTCCACCAGGAGCATGCAGTGAGGGGACACGCTGCGTCGATTGCTGCTTGGCAACAAAGAACACAAAATAGACTTATAACACAAGCCACTACCTCCCTGGCGATTGGAAGGGGTTGCATTTTGACTTCCAAATCTCTCTCACAGTTTGGAACGTGAGTTTGACAAATAAGAGCCAAGCAGCAGGCAAGGTTTTGACGAGTATGTGATATCTTATGATCAAAGGCTGAGGCTACATTCTGCGATCTCTTCTTGCAGGGCCCTCAAAAACATATTGGATTGCAGGTGCAAGTATTTGCCAGTGACAAAGGTGTAGGGAAAATTGAAACGTAGAAAAATGATGTAGAAGAATGAAGGAGTTACGGAATCGGACACGTCTCTCCCCGCCAAGGCAGGAGATTATGTGTCCTTCACCTCTGCTGCAAGCCCGTTGGTACTTCAAGACAGGAACGGCAAATCGTGGTCAACCATTAATGTCTGATGCATCGAAAAGCCAAGATCTGCTGACGAGACCAACGAAGCCGGCGGTAGATGTATTGTCCATCCTTGGTTCTATTGTTTTACTTGGCCTTGGGTCCCATGGTCATATCATCCTTCACTTGGGGGTTGTCCAAAACCCTTTCCCGAAAACTATCCTTGCGCCGGCCTTGGGCGAATCTTGCGCGGATCTTGCGCGAACACAGTAAAACTACAGTTTCTATTCAACTGACTTTTCCTTTGCCTGTTTTCGTGGGTGTGTATGTGTATGTGCAAACCGCTATCACAAGCGGAGAGTTTAAAAACAACACGGCCGAAACAGCTGGCTCAGAGAAGTCGACATGGCCAGTCCCGTTCTACGTGCATTTGGGCTTGTGCGGAGCTTGTGCGAACCTTGCGCGGATTTTTGATCCTGTATTGGCCACATTCTGAAGGAATTACCTTAAGACGTATATTGTGGAGACAAGAAGCATTCTGAAGCATACTTAAAGTCCTGAGTCCTAACCGTTAAGACCTCACAAGTGCCAGTTTCATTCCACAAAGCACAAGCTAGTAACAACAGTCTTCGTAGAAATTCGGGCAGCTAGTAAGTAGCCCTTGCGCAAAACCCTCCGCCGGCCTTGCACGAACCGTGCGCGATGCAGGTTTCAGACTACCTACTATCAATGAAAAACATCGTGCTACTAAATTCTATTATGTGGGCTTTTGGACGACTCTCATTTGAAGGGAACTGGTGGCCATCGCCAGCAACCTTGAGCATCAATGATTCATAAATATTCACAGAGTCTTTGCTTGGCATACGGCCGCATAGGGAGGATGGTTTCGACGGACTCCCTGAGTTGGTGGTGGAAGATGCGACTGCGCCGGCCGTATTGAAATTTCGACTGCGCCGCTTGCAACGTAGACCATTAGGCCCAGCACCCCGCAACTACGTGGCTACGTGGTTGTGTCCCCAGAAGCATGGGCCCAGGATGATTAGTTGCTTGGGGCAAAGGTGGCTGTAACGTCGGCGCACTCTCTGAGAAAACGGCTGGAATCAAATGAGATGTAGCACCCTTTCGCAAAAGGCTATGGCTATGGCGGCCTTTTCGTGGACACAGTTTCGCCTTTCGCAGGCATAGTTTGCTGCACCCTTTCGCAACAAAGGCTCAAGCCAACAAAAAATACAAATTCATGTCCTACTGTATTCAGCACTTGGCGTATACGTCCAAAATGGCCTTTCGCATATCCCTTGCGCAACCATGCTTTTGTTCCGTCTTTCGGGACATTTGTCTCGAAGCTTTTGCGAATTGAGTTTTGTCTTGCGCAGTAGGTATGTCAGGACTGTATGACAAAAGCTCTACACAAGGGTTGTTGATGAGGAGATGGAAAACGAAGCTAAGGTTCGATTGTGGACTGTGGCCATGTGACCAGCATAAGGTAGCACCCATTGTGCTCGATGTCAAGTGGATATAGGATTGCGCACTCTGCCCCGCTGCTGTCTGCACTTTCGGAAGCAAGCTTACCCGGGCCGCACTTACCAGGCAAGCTCACATTGAAGCAAAGCTCACATGGTGGACACTGGAACAAAAGTACCATCCAGCGTGCAAATGTTAGGAGAAACCAGTCAGGCCTTCAAGTCATCCAGCAAATACAAATTCAAAAAAACACAACACCAATTGTCAGGTTTGTGATGAACTAAGAGTATCTGACATCAAGCAACAGCGCTTTAACAATTCTGGAAAATGTTGTCTGCTTCTCTTATTTTTGACACGCGTGGACTGGAGCATCATATATGTCTTCCAACGCAAGATTTGTCAGCTACAGGAAAGTAGCAGCGTTCAACAACAGGAATGCATCACACGTATTCTGGCAGCTCATGGTACGGACCCACCGTTTTTTGTGCTTGTGGAAACCATACTGACGTCCTTTTGGAGACAAGGTAAGTCTTGAAGCTAGAAGGAAATGGCCTCCACAGCAATCGGTTCCAAGGCAAGTCAGACATGCCAAAAGAAGCTTCCTCGTGGGTGACATGGCGAGACCGGAAGTGATGGGAAGCTGGTCAACTTGGACCTGGAAGCTTAATCAACGGCCGACTGCCGCTTCCATCGTGTTTGTTGCATGACCGCACCAAGAAGCAGGGACGCTGACGAGACAGACATCAACC